TCAGGTATGCTGGGGATAGAGGAACAGCACTCACACACATACAGGTATCCTGGGGATAGAGGAACAGCACTCACACACATTCAGGTATGCTGGGGATAGAGGAACAGCACTCACACACATACAGGTATCCTGTGGATAGAGGAACAGCACTCACATACATACAGGTATCCTGGGGATAGAGGAACAGCACTCCCACACATTCAGGTATGCTGGGGATAGAGGAACAGCACTCACACACATACAGGTATCCTGTGGATAGAGGAACAGCACTCAAATACATACAGGTATCCTGGGGATAGAGGAACAGCACTCACACACATACAGGTATGCTGAGGATAGAGGAACAGCACTCACACACATACAGGTATCCTGGGGATAGAGAAACAGCACTCACACACATTCAGGTATCCTGGGGATAGAGGAACAGCACTCACACACATACAGGTATGTTAGCGGTAGAGTAACAGCACTCACAAACATACAGATATGCTTTGTTATAGTACTCAGCCTAATGCCAAGAAGTAGAACAATCAATAAGATGTTTGTTTAAAGTACATTTGCATTCTTAAATGTTATTAAATGCTATTATTTAATGTTCAGATATTTTCCTGATAAATTTATTAACTGTTGTCATTTCTTGACATTCTTCCTGAAATGTGGCTCTTGTGGTCTCACACACATGTGCAGTATTAAAAAGGTACCGCATGTGGGAGGGGAGAGCTGGGACAGCGGCTTCTCTCCAACACCTTCTTCTAGGCAGCGCAACCTCTGGCTCTCAGCCTGCTCTCCCAGAAAGTGTCTGAGCCAGAGGTTCCCACAGGAGCACTGGAGTGGGTTTCCACCCAGCAGCCTTGGGCACAGTAGACTGAAGTTAGCATGGTTAGGGTTAGGTTTAGGGTTAGGGTTGGATTAGGGGTTAGAGTTATGGTTAGCAAAGGCAGCCCTCACTGAGCCACACAGCTTAGCATGTTGTCATCTGATATATATGTACAAATATCTCAATTTCATTCAAGGCAATGATGCAGAAAATTACTATTTTTTGTATAATTAAAATGTCTGCATCCTATGAAATGGAAAAATATTGAATTAAAGAACTTACAGATAAGAAATGTTTATGTTTTGGAAGGATTTCCATGACAACGTAGGTAATCTGTTGTCCTTTAGATTCCTATGAACCAAAATAATAATCTGGTCAGCTGCTATATTCTAAACACATTTGTACCCCAATTATCACAAAAATACTAATACTGCTGTTATTAATTCATACTCTCTAGAGCTCACATTGACATAGCAAATAAATATAGGTGATTTTGTCTGACTTCTTGAATATTCCACTGCAGATACTGATGTGGTTTCTGCTATTTATACTGCTCGTGTTACAGTCAACACTGCCACAGTCATAATCAAGACTATTACTGTCACTTCCAGCAGTACTTCCATTACTGTTAACATTACTAGTCTTGCTATGGTTAATAACATGTATATATATGACCTTACTTTCAATTACAGACATCAGCGAATATAATAATTAGTTATAATAATGATAAAAATGATAAACAAACTTACAGATACTGCAGTTTGGCATTACTCAGAAAGGCCACTGGGGAAATGGAAGTCAGGTCTGTCTTTGTCACAGTTCTGTTAGAGAAAAGTAAAACACTCTATTTTGTAGCATCATGTGCTGATTTTATTTAATGTGAGGATATATCCCAGACCCCCCACCCCCCCACCCCCCACCCTTTACATAATAATTTGCATGTAAATACACCTGCGCCTTCAACTCACACAGCCATAGTGCCGACTTTCAGTTACTAAAGTACGTAAAAAGGAAGCTAAATTGGTTCATTTTTAATAATAATTAGTTCAAACCATGTCTGAAGCCCATACACATTATGAAGAACCGGGGTGAACAGGCAGCGTTTTGGCTCCAGCAATAACATGTTGCACCTCAATACATTTCATCTTGACTGACCAAAGCTGTATTTTTGGTTACACTTTAATTGACGGGGCACAAATACTTAGCGGTAACTACTAGTGAAGTACAAATTATGCACAAATTGAGTAACTACTTAAGGATGCATCATGATTCAATAAAGGGGAACAAACATGAGATCAGTATTTCACTTGTTTAATTCGTTACTTGTTCTTCAGTACTTCCCTGGTAGGTCCTTGGTAGCTCCTTCAGTATTTCACGAAGTTTTACAGAATTAATAGATAGAGTAACTTCACAATTCATTAAAGATGAAACATTTGATCACTGAGGGGACACAAATTATGTAGTAGTACACGCTTGCTTAATGCATTAATTAACCAGTAACTAAGTATTAGTTATGTACTGCTCCAATATTTGCTCATCATTAATCAAACATGATGGTTCATGTATTTCATTCAGGAACTATATTAGTTAACTACTAACTAATTAGTTAATTAAGTAACATAGTTCCTGCATGGAATACATGAACCGTCATAACTGATTAATGATGAGCTGACACTTAGTTAATGGTTAATGCATTAATTAAGCGAGCACTACTACATTGTGTCCCCTCAAGTAAAGTGTTACCCAGTATTTCACTTGTGTTATTCATTCATTATTTGTTACTTCGATAGTTCCTTTGGTAATTCAAAAAGGTTCACAGAAGTAACAGATATAGTAACAAATATAAGTTCTTGAGAAAAAAGATGCATCACTATTCATTAATGATGAACGTGCATGAGATCAGTATGTACCTAACACTTAGTTCGTGGTTAGAATTTAGAATTTGATGATCAGTGATCATTGTTGACACACCACAGCACACAGTGCACGACAACGAAATGTGTCCTCTGGATTTGACCCATGTGACATCATGACATTGCAGGGGGCAGCTAATTCAGCGCCCAGGGAGCAGTGCTTAGGGGTGGTACCTTGCTCAGGGTACCTCAGTGGTACCTTGCTGATTAATTCAAAAGTAACAGTTTAATGCTACATTATCTGTGGCCCCTCAAGTAAAGTATTACCGCATTTTGTTGTGAGCAGATGTCTGATTTCGAAAACTCAATAAACCCATAAAAAATGCATGATACTTACAGACTCCTGAGGTTTGTATAGAACTTTAGATCATTGTCATTGATTGAAGACAGTCTGCTTTGATTTGCAATAAATCTATTAAAATAAACACATTTCAAATATGAAACAATAATGTTCAATTTGCAAATATTTACTGTTTAATATTTACTATTTTCATGTTGCAAATATTACTGATTTATTTCACTTCAAGTAATACCATTTGCCATTTACATTGTGGGACTGTAGCCAGTGTGTAAAACTGTTAGAATACACAAACTTCATAAACTGCAATCAAACGACAAATGCACCTCAGTGGAACAATCTGACCATTATGCTAACAGTTATCTCGTAGCCAATTTCCCTGAAACATACAGAACGACAATATAAAGTATTTCATTTTTTGCATTTCAGCCAAGTTACACCTGTAAAAGTTGTCTATGGGCCTATGATGCATCATAGTCTAAAACTCCTTTCTATGTTCAAGAACAAATAAAGGCCAAATTTACACGTATTTCTCCCAAGAGTGGGTATTATTCTGTACTGATATTCAGTTTAATTAACAAGAAATTAAAATCTCTACACAGAGAAACAGTAAATGTAACAAACAGACGTTTTATGGCATATTCCGTATCATCTAGCACTCTTTGATAGTCACTTGGAAACGTTACCATTTGCGCACACTGTCCCACCTCTACGGGAGTCCCGCTTGTTTTATATGAAACATATTTTTATCGTTTAATAACAAAAAATGGGAGTGCTTATTCTTAAATGATAATAACCCAATAGAATTACGCACCCAAAAGGGGGCAGCTGGTGTAAATTACTAATTGTTAACACTTCACCAATATTAAAATGCAAGAGTTGTAAATTGTGGGGAAAATTAACTGACATATTCCTCCTTATACAGTATCATTATTTCGCATACGATACTTCAATTCCTTTGTTTAATGTAAATCTTTGATTTATTATTCGGTTTAGCTGGATTACTATGGTTTGCACGAGTACTAGTAGAAATAGTGTAAAAATAATGATAGATCTTACTCACATTTCGGTGACATTTTCCATGTCAATATCTGACTGGAGAACAGGGAAAGCCGCAAGCCCAGGATCCTGTTCAAGACATACGATTCTGGACGCATTGCAAATGCAAGATGCGGGACAAGCGGCGCAAGCCCTCCAGAACCCGAGCAGAACCCAGCAGAACCCGAGCAGAACCCAGCAGAACCCCCAACAAGCCGCTCCATCCCCCTTCCAGAAGGAAATCATGGCGGATCCTGCGATGCCAAAACCTCAGCCTGGATTCAAAGAGTCGGCGAGCGAATGTGATGGAATGGTCTTTCTCTCTGTCTCCGCGAAAATTGTCCTGCAGTGTCACATTTCTAAATAATGAAAATGTCCCAGAGATTCGGCCCAATCAGTATTGCTGTCCCCCCCTCCCCCCCGCCGCTACACGGGGTAGATCTTGATTTTCAATAGCGCAGAGGAACTGTAGACTGAAAGAAGAAAACGATGGTAATAACAGGGTACCAGAATGCGCCGATCGCCGCCTACAACCGCATAAGCAGCAGTGTAAAAGTGTTCATAGCCAAGAGCATGTTATTCACCTAGGTATTTCGATGTAACGATGCATACGTTTTCAGAGTAAAAGCCCTTAGACGTAGACATACAGAGTACACACCGCCGGTTGAATTGATAAGCATTAAAAAAGGCTGAGGAAATTATACCGTGATGTAGCTAAATGCGTTTACTTTCATTACAATGCTCAGAAAATTATTTACAATACTTAGTCTATTTGTGCCTCCAGACAGTATATATAGCATTCCAATTACCTGATGGTGTTAAAAGGCAGCGATATATGCGCACTTCCCCTCAAACACTCTATCCTATGTATCTGTGACGTGCAGTTTGACGCACAACATGGGTTGAATCTAAGACAAATAATTACGATATAAAGCGTATCTGTGCAGTCCGTGGAATTGCTGTTGACGGCATTTTAGGGAAATAAGCTCATTGAAATTGCAGATTTATCCACGGGTATTGTGTGAGAATTTGATACATTTTTGTATACATTTCGAAGACCGGAAATTGATAGCCATTGACATGAAAACGAAATAATAATCTGAGTACCCAGATTAATTTCTGAAGACGCAAACAAAATGAAGTGTAACGGTGTAGCTATACCTTTTCGACAGAAGACGATATAGCGCAGTTGCATTTCTGTATATACAAAGCCTTGTTGAAGGCTGAAATACGGTGCTGTTCGGTCATCACGTGTCACAATATATTCGCTAAATCCTAAATCTTATGCATATTTATTAATATCAGAAACTTGATTGAATCTAATTAGCTTTCCCGTAATATTACACGTCACGTGAAGTTATAGTGTATAATTAGCACCTACACGTTGTCGAGTATCAAGTTTTATTTGTCACATCCACAATAATGCACTGTACCACTGTGCAGTGAAATGCCTTTCCACCTGTTTAATGAACTGTACTTGATGAAACGTAATAGAAAGACAAAAGCGAATCTAACAAGCTACGTACGAGTAAGAATACGATTATGATAAAGAATGATTATAAAATAACCTGATAAATAATATTAAATGACTGTAAAATACACCAAAACAGAGACCAGAATATCAACCCCTGAAAAACTGAAAAAAATATGCAACGATAGTGGGTTGGTCTTATAGTTCATACTAATTACCGTTTATGTTATTTATGCAGGAATAAGAAGACTTCATTGTCATTGAATTGCTGAGAATAACAAACAACGAAATTACGATGCATTCCCTGATTTAACAAGGCCAATATTTATAATAGAATATGATATACTAATTCTCACCTTTAAAGAAACTTCCTCCAGTCTGTCTTTTGGATCTTCTTCCTTCATACACTCCAACCTGATTCTCAGACAAAGCTTTAGATCTTATCCAGGGTTTTAATATACACTCTCTCTCTATTTAAGTATAGAATGATAACCTAAGTGTTAAGTCTCACCTACTGCTACAGGTGATAGGTAAACAATGGACAATGACCACAAAACTATCTGTGAGAGTTAGGTGCAGGGGCGTTGCTAGAGATTTTGGGCCCCATGAAAGCATATCATATTAGGCCCCCCAGTCCAAACCAATCCAGTTATTTTCCTAATTTTTTAGGGCCCCTGTCACCACCATTAGCTGTTCCATCCTTTGTGTTTGAGTTGGCTGTCTCTGGTCTGCCTCAAATCTTTCTTCTCTCTCTCACTATTTTTTAATGCTGCTATAGTTAAAATAAGGGGCTTCCAATTCCACGAATAACCCTATCTCTTCATAAGCTAACTATTAATTTACCATATTAACCCCTTTTCCTCCAGATCACTAGATCAGGGACATTCAGCACTGAAGTAATAGACAATCAGCTAAACCCAGACAACTGGCTTGTAAGACTGTGTACAGAATAGATGCATGTATTGACCCATGTAATGACATGGTCCAGTGTACTGACAGTTACCCACATTGGTTTGCACCCTGATTTTCTTTATTGCAATTTTTATCTTGTTGCTTTTATCCAAAATCAGAAATATTATATTCTGTGTTCCATAATCATCCTGTGCAGAGTGTAACCCTCTCACATGACCTGTGCTCCCTGGGATTGGGGCCAGGACCCACAATGACCCTGCTTAGCATAAATGGATGGAAGGGTATGATGGAGAGATGGATGGATTTAAATAATATCATTTGTTCTATAGACATTATTTACTAATATTATTAAATATAAAAATGACAAAATCCATGGGGTGACCTGACGAGGGCAGAGCATGAGAGATGCCCTCACAATCTGATAGATTTGGAGCCTTTTGCAAGGAATAGTGGGCAAATATTGCCAAGATGATGCTGATAGACTGAATGCTGTAATTAAATCAAAAAGTGCTTCAACAAAGTATTAGTTTAAGAGTTGATGTCGCCACCATTAAATCTGAGGGGGATGTCCCCCCCTCACATTTCATAATTAATAGTTTGGACCCCCACATTTAATATAAAATATTAGTTTTATGCCAATGTGCCCCACCCCCCACTCAAAATGCGTCTGACACCCCTGGTGAGTACACATACACAGCTAGTTTTTTTGTATGTTTTTTATCTTTTATATTTTTACCCCTAACAGATTTGTTTGTTTTTCAGTTGAATTGTACATTAAAACTGGGGAAAGTTTTGAAATGATTTGATCGTGGTCTCATTTTTTACATCATTAAAAACCTGGGATTTTAACAGGGGCGTGTACACTGTTTATATCCACTGTAGGTTCTCTCGATATGTCCTGGGGTAAGGCAAACAAACAAACAAATACCCTTTGAATTATTCTTCAAACAAACTTTCAGACATTTTGTTGTTTTTTCAGTGGTGAGGTACATTCAAATATCAAGAGTGGTGATATGTTATTCATGTGGCACCACAACATGCAAAGCACCACTGTTCACTATAAAATATATCAATGATGTCCCAGCTCAACAAGAATATTTGATGAGAAAATTGAGCACTTCCCCTTATCCCCATCAACCTAGCAAGTTGTAAGGAAGGAGAGAAACTAGTTGTTCAAAATTTCTCCCCTTTTTGCAGCCATTGTACATGGTTAACATCTTTTTTGTGGATATTAAAACTGGTAAATGCACATTACTTTAGTTTTAGTGTGGATAATGTTTTTTTAGCCCAGACAGACGGCACGTTTAATGATCACATACATGAAACGTGTCACAAACCAGCCGGGACACCCCGTCAACATCACACACTTCATAGAGGGATTCCTTCTGTCGCCAGCCACAACCCCCAGGGAACCCCGACACCAGGACTCCACCCAGTCGGGGAAGCCCTGCTCAGCCCGCATCTCAGACTCTCTGCTGATTCCTATTATCAGTCATGCCCCTCCCTGGCTGTTGTGTGATTACTGCTTATTATGCCGCATATTTTAGTTTCTCTAACACATCATCGGGATGCAGGATCTTCTTAGTCTCAAAAACGTAGAGCATATCACCTGATATCTCTCCTCTGGTTCTTCATTCTGTTTTGTTCCTAGTTTCCGAGTTTCTCTTGCCCTGCCCTGATTGTTGTTCACACTGTGCCCCACCCTTCCCTTTCTTTCTTTTTGTCTTTTTATTTTCTGTCTGTGCGGTCAGTGAATCCCTGGAATCTTTCAAAAGTGGATTGATCAACAGATCTGACTACTAGGGTTTGGTGACTACACATAGCCCAGACCGTGGTTCCATCTTCTCCATCATCTCCCTATCCCAGTGAACCACGCCTGCCACACCTCGAACACTACATGTTCATCGTTCTTGTTCAGCATGTCTCGAGCTGTCATGTTCCCTCTGCATTGCCAATATGATTGTGCTATTGACTTACTTCCAGGACCAACCCCTCCTAAGACGCAGCTGTATCCTCTATCAGCCCCCGAATGACAGGCCATGGAGATGCACGTTGGGTAGTTGCTTCCAGGCAGCCATCATTCATCCTTCTTTCTCACCAGCAGCGGCAAGCTTCTCCTTTGTGGGGAACAAAGATGGGATTCTGAAGAAAAAGGCCTCAATGACATCACCGTTAAGAACCATTACCCAATACCTATGCTGGCTTTCATCTTTGACCTGCATCAAGGGGGGGTCACTATTTTTACTAAATTTGAACTTATGCAATGTTTATCATCTGGTCAGGATCAGGGACGGTAATGAGCGAAAGACCCAACAACACACCCACAGGTCATTTCGAGTATCTGATGAAGCCTTTTGGGTTGACCAACGCACCTGCTCTGTTCCAGAGCCTGACTAATGATTTCCTCTGGGACATGATCAACACATTCATATTCGTTTACCTGGATGACATTGTGATCTTTTAGCATAACAAACACAAGCATGTTCAACACATCCACAGAGGACTACAACTTATTTGTTATAGCAGAGAACTGTGAATTCCAAGGAGGCAAGTTCTCCTTTTTGGGCTTTGTTACTTCGGAGGGGTTAATCCAGACTGACCCAGGGTACGTCAATGCTGTTCCCGACTGGTCACAACCTCGCTCCTGTAGAGAACTGCAATGCTTCCTGTGGTTTTCTCATTTCTATAGACAGTTTTTTTTGGGGGGGGGTACAGCTCAGTTGCCGCCCCACTAACAGCATTAACCTCTCCCAAGGGCCGTTTTCAGTGGACATCAACAGTGCAAGAAGCTTTTGATGAGTTGAAGAAATAATTCACATCAGTACCTATCATGCAGACACTGGATCCTTCCAGATAGTTTGTGGTTGAGGTGGAAGCTTCTGAGACAGGAGTTCGGACTGTCCTGTCTCAACACTCCCCCTCTGGCAATAAGCTACACCTGTGTGCCTCCTTCTCCAAAAAACTCTCCTCAGCCAAAAGGAATTGACATTGAAGATAGGGAACTGCAGGCGGTCAAATTAGAGCTGTAAGAGTGGCAACAGTGGCTGGAGTGGGTGAAGGAACCTTTTTTTGGTCTGGATAGACCAGAAAAACTTCCCCGTCTGCTAAGCTTTTAAATGTGCATCAGACAAGGTGGACCAGTTTGGGATTTCATACCGGCCGGGCACCAAGGACCTCATAACTGCTGCCCTGTCCCAACCGTAGGAGAAGCGAAGGTAAGAGGACCCTGGAGCCAGTACTACTTGGTTGTTGTTTTGTGGAAGGAGTATCCTGGGGGATAGAACAGGTGGTCATGGCTGTACAACCTCCAGTTTCTGGTGAATTGGGAGGGGTACGGGGCCGAGGAATGGTCCTGGGTTCTCACATGCTACGTCCTGGACCCCTCCCTAGTCGATGGATTTCATTATGACTACTCCAGTGTCTTGGATCCACTGCCAGGAGATAAGTTGTTGGGGAGAGGTACTGTCACAAACTCGCCAAGCCCCAGCCCCCCTCCCTGCCCCCCAGAGAGCCCCTGCTCTGGGACTCCACCCAGTCAGGGAAACCCTGCTCAGCCTGTGTTCCAGCCCCCCCTGTGATTCCTACTATCAGCCATGTATATCCCCAGCTGTCGTGTGATTTCTGCTTATTACACCACCTATTTTACGTCCCCTGATGTGTTACTCGGACGTGAGATCTTCTCAGTTTCTGAGAATTTGAATGCTTCATCTGATATCGTGATAATTTTGTTCCTATATTCCGAGTTTGCCTAGCCTTGTTCTGATAGTTGTCCTCACCTTGCCCAACCCTTGCCTGGTTCACCAGTCTATGTTTTTTTGCCTTACAATTTGGATTCTGTCTGCCTGTGCTGTTTTCTGACCCATGCATACAACCCTGATTTTTTTCTTGCTCCAATTAAAGCCCCAATTTCTCCTGTTTCTGCATCTGAGTCCTCATTTCCCCAGGTGTCAGTCACAGAAAAGTACTTGGCAAAAAAAACTGATACTGAGTAAAATGTAAGCGCTAACCTAGGCTTGAAGGTGCGCATGATGAGCAATAGGTTACAATATGCCTGATTGTTAGGAAATTTTAATGACATGATAGATCTGTGTTTTTTCATTGAATGTCTTCACATTAATACATACAGTATATTGTGTGTCAAATGATCAGTTTTTAGTTCAGTATACACTTCCAGTGATACTTGAGTGAAAAAAACAACTGTAAACAATGGACTTATGATATTGAAGTTACAACCGTCACCTACTGCCACCTGGTGGTAATATACGGAAGCTCTCACTACAAATGCCTCAGATCAGAGTTGCTCGGTGTGGGATAATGCATGGAACAGCTTCTTTATTAAGAGCTGGCATTGTCGGTCGAAGTCCATGTGGCGCTATAATACGTTGTGTTTTTGACTGCGCTAAAATTAATTGCGTTTTTTATACCCTAATGGAACAGGTATGAGCAAAGATTTTTAAATTTAATTTCTGTACTGAATATACGTATTAAATGTTTTTTTTTTTTTAAATAGAATAGAGACCTTTATTGTCATGGTGTACAAAGAAATGTGGCATGCCACTCCAGTGACAATGCAGAAGTAAAAATAAAAAATTGTCAGAAATATAAGGTTTACCTAAAAATATTTAAATATATATGCCTTGAGAAATTAATATAACAAGGACAAAAAAATACTAGATGAGGGGTAAAGTGCAAAGAGTTATGGTCATGAGGTAATATAGGTCAGCCAGGCAGACAACTTGACAGTAGTGCAAAAGATAGTGGTACAATAAAGACATAACAGTGTGATATGTGACAGCAGAGCAAATAAGATGTCACGTCCTGATGGTGCTGCTCCTGTGTGCCACGCCCCCTCGTTAACCTCATGTGGAATCCTCCTGGTTACCAGCTGTTCCTAGTATTGTCCAATCGAGTCTGTGTATTTATGCTTCCCAGTCCCCAGTCTTGTCATTAAAGTCCTGTAGTCGCTGACATTTGTGCCCCCGATTGTATCCTTCCTCTAATAAACCCCGAGTTTACCCCTTATACTTGGACTCCCGTGCTTCCCTTCAGCGTCCTGACATAAGATTGATTATTGCCGATTCAACAAGGAAACAGCTTTAAGGTAGAATATGTTGCTCATTCTTGAGGTGTGCGCCCGGGCAGCTGTTCTTATTCCTTTTTGTGGTATTCGCGGTTTACACTCACCCTTCCCCGAATCGCCTTGTTATTCTGTGTCAGAACAGCAGTCAGCGCCAGAGGTATTCAAACTGTGAGGCGCGGGAAGGGATTGCGGGGGTGGCGCGCAGGTGCGGGTTAAATAAAACAGAACAGTCTGGAGTTTAAGGTGCTAGGCCGATTTCGAAATTGCAATCTTTAGAAAAATATACAATAATGTGAACACGTATACATAACACGACGCTAATAAATTAAAATAACCAAAATGTGTTAAGACACCACATTTCGAATACATGGAATTCCATGAATACCATAATATAGCCCTGTCTGTGTTCCATGGTATGCAGATTGAAGCGAACGCCTGCATTTCCTAAAACAGGATAAGGATGGAGGTCCTTGGTAATGAATGCGGTAATAGATTGCGTGATCATCTTTGCTCTTTTGCAGTTTCGGGGCTATCGTTGATGCGATCACTTCTATGATTTACTGATTAGCTGCAACATTTTTGGCAGTTGCTAACTGTAAACACGGGGTGAAAACCAGTAATGTGGTTTCTCATATTTGTTGTGTTGCCAAAGTATTTAACCTTTGCTAGACAAGTCTTACATAAAACACATTTTATTCAGCTCGTTTTCCCTTTAACTCCAGAAAAACCAAAGTGTGCCCAAATGCCTGCTTTCAAGATATTGGGAACGTTTATAATCCCTGGCTGCTGAACTTTCTGCTCTCCTTCCGCCATGAATCCTATCTATAAATTACACACCTGACGGAAAAGCTTAATGTAGCTTCCGGAAGGCATACTATTATTTTACACTAATTTTATTCCAATTAATTTGATTGTATTTTTCAATGTACTTTATTTACATACACTTTAAATAACCGATTTTTTTTTTCTCCGGCATCGATGCAGAATCTTTCACATCAGCATGCATCGTAAAAACGATTAGGCCTATTTCCCCCAGATCTAAAGGCAGCCTATATATAATGGCAGTCATCCACACACAACTTTTACAGCAGCTTCACAGAAGTCCACAGAATTTCATTTTTTGACAGCTACACAGATAATTAAAAACTGAAAAAAAAATTACTGAACTGGAGTCGACTCTCCATTCCTAACCACGGTAAAGATAGTTTGCAGTTAGCGATTCGGGATTCGGTTTAATTTATCTCGGCAGTGCAGTGAAATACTCTAGTAAAGGGAGTGGCATTTTGTTACTCGTGATTTGTGAATTCGGATGACGTCATCCCCCCCCCCACCCCGAAGTCTGCCGATATTACTCTTACCAAAATATATATATATATATAATAGTATATATACATATATACACACACACACAAATATATATATATATATATATATATATATATATATATATATATATATATTATACTTACCATTTGTATTGTATTGTTAAGCGCGAATAAGGAAAAATTTCACCATATAAACAGGTCCAACCAGGCTCATTCTGACCAGTCAAATTTGTGATTTTTTTCACAGTCCATAGTTTAACCATCTCCATTGCTTTTGGAATAGACTCCCAGCCCTCTTTTTTTGATACAATGAATCATTTTTTTCTGACACCGCTTCGGAGTTTCAATATCAGACCTAACATCACTAATCGATGTGTTATTCTGTCTGGTGATGTGATGATCTCAGCATTTTACTGTATGTGTATTCTTAACTCTGGTGAAAAGGTATTGCAAGATTCTTTGACGATTTTGCTGGCTTTCTCACATATATATTGTTTTCTTAACCTGTGGCAGAGGTTGCCAATTTTTGGCTGTTCTATAATACCGGCAGGATGAACTCAAGAGCAGTTGTAGTTCGGTGTTGTTCGGTTTGTGATTCGCACTGACATCCAAGTCTATGATTTATTATTGCCTTGAGTTTCCAGGGCTAGGCTTCAGGCTCAAAATGCCATTGTGCTGGATAAACGGTTATGGAGGATGTACGTAAAAACATTTGAACACCGGCGCTTTAAAAAATACTTCGTTTCACGATTATTCGTTTTTCATCGTTCATTACCCTGCTCATTAATAGTAATAATTATTTGAATATTCTTAAATATATTATAATAGGTTACATTTTGCACACATATGTTAAAAATCTTTGTATTGCGTCACTGGAGTAGTAACAAATAGAGAACAGAGGAGCGCGTTACGCCCTTTTTATCAACCAAACTATGAGTGTAGAGGCGGAAATCTTTGACAAAGGTGTTTTACGAAGGGTATCGTTAACATTGACATGCAGTCATTCTACCCAATGAATTGCCTTGTTATTTACAGAGCCCACCCATCACCCTCTCTCTAAGCCAATCAGAACGCGGGATAATGAGACAGAGCGCAGGGTTAGGTTGATGGTGAAAGTAGTCAGTCGGGAGATTTGGGGCCGAACCGAGTCAACGAACAGGTCTGTACGGCACTTTCCATTAGTGCTTTAACTGTCTGCAAAAGGTGAATGTTTCTTGTACAGTGAATGCGGCAGGGACACATGAGTCCGGTTAACAGCCTCGTTGAAATTATATGTATTTTTATATCTGGCTGGCAGCGGGGGTTACGCGTCGCTTTTTGTCGTAATGGCCTCTTCGGGGACGCCGGGTTGTTTCCGGTTTCGCCCATGTTCGGTGTCGCTCCCTCTGTGCTAGCCCAGTCCGAAGGTAAGGCCAGTAGTATGTTAGGTGGGCGGTGCCGTGGTGAGCCGTTTCCCCGCTGCTCGCCGTGAAGACGGCCGGCTTTGCCTCGGACGGGTTCGCCGCACAACCGGGGCTAGCGCCAGGTAGCGTGAGCCATTTCGGGTGGCTGTCAGAGATGCTTTATAATAAACGAAGACGCCTAAATGGTTAACTTTACACAGTCTACGTGGCAGTACCTTCTTTGGGATTTTTGTTAAACCCTGCACTGTGGCCTCCTGCGGCGACCCAGCACGAAGCACGTAGCTGTGCTCTTCCTCGGCGGCCGTAGCTGCAGTGTGACCAGGCCTTTTGTGGAGTCCGACGTGAAAGGAAACGCGTATCCGGCTTATTTAACTGCTACTGTGATAATGTCGAGCCATCGCAGTAAAAACCAAATATGCACATGCATTCATGTATATTTAAATATATAACCCCAGCTAGGAGGTGCTCACTTTCTTTTTGAATATTTACTTACCCATGTCACTTGTGGTGATAATCCAGTGCCATTTTCCAGTATCTCGTTTGAAACAGTCCTGTCATGGTACTTTACTTAAAGTTTATATAGAAGATGTTGTGTTGCTTTTCCCCTCAGAACTGACTCGTTAATGTTTGGGCTCCTGCACTCATGTTCTAGTCTAATTTAAAAAATAAATCGACAGCTGTTTGACACAGAGAGAAACCGGTTGCCCTTCACTGGCACGTTAAGACAATGGAGACTGAAATTGAACCACAAGAAGAAGAAAGTACCTTCAGCAACACAGACACTAACGGTAAGGCTGCTTGTACCACTGCGGTAGGCTACATAAAGCAGGAGATCCTTTGACTTGTTCTGCCTGTGTGATCCAGATTAAATTGGCCATCTTTGGTGTATATTTTTTACAAAGTGCAAAAAATTGCCAGCTAATTTAACAGGGAAATATTGCGCAGGTTCTCTTTTTCTCCTGAGTGAATGACAGATGTATTTGTAACAGCACTGACAAGGCTTGCACAGCTGTAGATGGTCATAAAGCATCTATAATTAACTTTTACAATGAGTTGTGTGAGTAATTACCATGGCAACATGCACATTTTTGTGTAAAAAAAAATGTGGCGGCTTTAGGATGGTGCAGGGACTTTGTGGGAAACAGTCTCCTTCAGACCTCTAGGGCTGTGGGATTGAATCCCACCATTTGTTCTTTGTTTCTGGGGGTGGGAATTGGTAGAGACCTCCCAAATCAATATTATCGATATTTGTTTGCCAGTTTGATATGCGTCATTATTTTTTTCTTCAATAGTTTTTGATGGAAAAGCATTTCAAGTCTACATAAAAAAAAAGTGTAGACAAGGACTGTAACCGTACATGTCATATTCCTCATGCAGTTTCGTTGCATCATTTTCATTTCAGTATGCATAGTGAATGAATACATTTCTTGACACAAGTGAAACCTAAATTCACAAGTAGATGTTCAACACGGAAAACGTTATGCTAATTCTGGCTGTGACTTGGTTATGGATAGTGCTAGAGAGCTCAGAGACCCTCCTACATCACTTAAATCGGTAGCTTGGGAACATTTTTGTTTCCTAATAAATTACCCCAACGCTGGAGACAGTGAGTAGTTGATGAGACCTAGACTGACGGCTCTGTCATACTGAACTCGTATGTTGCTGGTAACATCCTACACGCTAACCCATCCAAGAGTATGAATGACCAGAGTAAGCCAGAGACGTCCTCTGCAAGTTAGTCACCCTGTGGCATTTAAGCTTTGGGCTAAAAAAAATAAAATAACAAAGTTTATAGGGCATTTATCGCTGCAGATATGTACCTGCATTCTGTAGCAGGGCTGCGCAGTTAATCATAAAAACTGCGATCTCGATTCACACTGTACTCTGTAGCAGGGCTGCGCAGTTAATCATAAAAAAACTGCAATCTCGATTCACACCTCTATGTGATCTAAATTCTAAATTATAGCGGTTCTTCTGCATTGTATTACATCAGCTGGATAAAAACAAGAGCTCCTACTTTTCCCCCAGAGAGTCTAAAGTGTCCCATAATTCTGCGTTCTCTTAAAAGGGTACCCGGTACCTTACTTTTGATACTTCAAGAAAGAATCTTGAATCTTGAAAAAGTACTGAAAGTACAGTACTTCAAGCAGTTGGTTTTCCATTACCGTAAAATGTGGTACTGGTGCTGAATGACATCATAATGCAAGGCGGGTTATTTTGTACTTAATTCGAAAACTGTCTGTAGTATATTATAGGGCTGGACGATGTGTGATATTAATACCAACATTGCATGTTGTGCACATGCAATTCATACTTTGCCAGTCAGCTAGATTAAGATCTGGCTTTTTCTTTACTTCAAATCGGTATGGACGTTATAGTGCGGGGAGTTTAGGTTTCATTAAAACATTATTACTCTGTAATAGGGAAAACATGTATCTTTTGCGATTTTTATTATTATTCCTTTTCAAGATGATGAAGTATATGTTTAAAATCAGTTTAAAGTTTACCACCTCTGCTTTTGCCTGAATGGTGCATGCATTCTCCAAGACAATCATAATCATTTTCATCTTTGCTGTTTAAATCATTCCTAGACGGGTTTGTGAGAAATTTATGTGGAACTCCTTTTTGTTTTAGAAATATTCCATTATTGTGCTGTCCTACTACATTATGCAAAATGTTTTTTTGCATTTTATGCTGTCCTGATCTTTGGTTCTTCCAAGTTAGATTGCAGTTTAAGCTTGGGTCACTTCACTTATCCACACATCCATTATTATTATTATTTTATTTTGCCTTATTTATCATTATTTTCTGAGTTTGCAATTGAATTCAATTCAGTTTTAAAAAAATGTTTTGTATTGCGTTTCAGAGACAGGCTTTTTTCTTTAACCAATCGACAAATGAAGCATTTCAAGCCCCACCCCAAAATACTGAAGTACCAAAAAAAGCCCCCACTGCCACTTTGGTACTGGGACGTTTGTTATGGTTGTTTTGGCTGCCATAATTGAATGGCCAATTCAGCATTTCCTTTCTGTCTTAATCATAATGTTATAATATTATAATCATAATTGTTATAATGTACAATCCAGCTGTCATCCATCCACTTCTGGGGGTGTCCCATGAAGCAGGTTTTATCAGTTAGCTGGGTTACCTTAAGCTAGACGTCATGATTGTCCCGTAGGAATGTTGCTTAAATAAACTCTTATTGTACGATCATTACTTCTCGCTAACTGAGAAATGCTGCTTCTTCAAACACCCCCCTTGACTGTTGTTGATGGGTGAAGTGGTGTCTTTTGGTGTCAGTCTGGTGTCAGTCTGGTGTCAGTCTGGTGTCTTTTGGTGTCAGTCTGGTGTCAGTCTGGTGTCAGTCTGGTGTCAGTCTAGTGTCTTTTGGTGTCAGTCTGGTGTCAGTCTGGTGTCAGTCTGGCCATGCAAACAATACTGCATGTGTTCATTTCAGCCTAAAAGTTCTAATAGAATGTCATCCTATTTTGTTCAACAAAAACTGGACCTCATACTTCAGTGCTATACAGGATATCTCTGTTGCCTGTTTGTTCTTGTTTATATAATTTCCCAGGCAGTGATGGTCAGAATCAGGCTTAGCTGGTACTATTGAAAGAGCTTCCCTCTGATCTGGTTCTGCATTTAATTTTGACTGTTTCATTTGTCATTTGTGTCATTTCTGAAACTGTTGTCATAGCACCAGATCTTCTGCAGCACCTGCTACATGCAATGTACTCCAATATTAAATGAGGGCTCTGTGGCTGCCTGATGTTCTGACAGTTTTGTTGGCTGACCTAATGTTTTATATCTGCCTTTCTCCAGGAAAGCGACCCGCTGAAGATATGGAGGAGGAACAGGCATTCAAGAGGTCTAGGAACACTGATGAAATGGTTGAGTTGCGTGTTCTGCTGCAGAGTAAGGTGTGACCATATCGCTTTTAGCTCCATCTACTTGCCCGTTGTTCTGTTTCCCTCTCCCTGTGCTACTTCTGCTTTGTTTTTGCCAGAATGCTGGTGCTGTCATTGGGAAGGGCGGCAAGAACATCAAGGCTTTGCGCACAGACGTGAGTATCCAGCTGATGTCCAGAGTGCTGCCCTAGCAATGCCTGGAGGGGGCCACTAGGGGGGGCAGTAGTGAGGGAAAACCACCAGCTACTCACTCACACCCATTTCCTGTCCTTCCGGTGTTTAGGTTAATTTCACTTCACATCTTCAAAAAACTGCAGCACACTGCTTTAAAATAAATCTGCAATTAAAGCATTTTCCCTAAAGTGAACCAGTCCTCATTCTACCTACTTGTAGGCCTCTGTTTCATACATTTAATACTTGTACACACAGCAGTGTGGAGGCTTTGTAACATGTAGGCCCTTGAGGAGACATTCCGACAGTTTATCATTCTGTGTTGACACAGAGATTTCCATTTTCCATCTACCCGAGTCTTTGGTGTCCTCTTGCAGCTGTGAGGCTTTGTAAAGGTGAACAGCCTGAATTTCCCTGCCTTCGTTTGAAACGGCAGTAGTCCTCGAGTCCGTCTTAAATGTGTAGAGTCGGCCTCCTGTTCCCATACGACGTTGTGTGTTCAGCCTGTCTGATGGACAATACAGTCATGAGTGTAGCTTGTATTCAATTAAAATGTGCCTTTTCCCCTCTCCCTCTCCTTTGTTTCATTTTTGGCCCCTTCCTCTGTTGCCCATGTACTGGATCGGCTTGCCCCTCCTGCGTGGCCCAACATCCGCCCCTGACCGCCCACCTGACACCCTGGTGGGCCACGCCCATAACCCCGCCCCTCCCCAAATGGGCGCCTTACTTGACCAACTTGTGATTGATTGCCCTTGCCCATTGCCAACTCCTCGCACTGCAGCACAATGCCAGTGTTTCAGTCCCTGACAGCAGTGGCCCTGAGCGGTATGTCCCACAGTTATTCCCTCACTGCCTGACTAGAAAAGCCAGCTCATGTCTTTGATTACCTGCCTTGTTTCATGTCAGCGTTTTTTTTCCCCCCCTCATGGTCTGCCCTTTTTTAAACGGTGTACTGTTACATTCAGTTTTGTCTCCACCCCCATTAAGTATTTGAATATGATTTGGACTTTTTCTTTTTTTAACACGGGAGTTTCCGGCTGTGAGTCTGCTTACACGGGAAGTTCGTGTTTGTTCATTCATTCAGAGAAACAGTGGAACAAGCCCAGCTTCTGTCCGTTTGGTTCTCACAGCATTTTTGCTCCTGGTTTGTGGAAAGCCGTTTTTCTTGCTCTGTTCTGGTGACCCACTTCAGCCCGTTCAGTTCATGATCTCCTGTGGGCCTTAGACCTCTCACCCATCTGCTTCTGCTCCTCTTGCTCGCTCCCTGCCTCCCACTCTGCCCCCACCTCCCCACAGTGTTCATTGGCAGCCCTGTATTTGCCAATTCCATATCTCTCCACTCCACCCCCCACCCCCCCCCCCCCCCCCTAAACCAAGCATACTCTCCTGCTTCCCACAGCCCCAGGTCCCTCCTGCCACAGTCAGTCCCACACTCCTGCAGGAGTGCTGTAGGTCAACTAGTACAGGCTTTTCCCTGCCCTCCCCAGGTCCAGGGCAGCTCTGTGTGTGTGCGTGTGTGTGTGTGCGCGTGTGCGTGCACATACTCGTGTGTGATTGTGCGTGCATCTGCGTCACGCACGTTAGCCATAATGGTGCTGGATGTGAGCACAGATGTTTTCAGCACAGTCGTGGGGTGTTGAGCCCTGTTCTGAGGCCACCCCAGTTCTGTGATCCCTGTGCTGTGTAATGCATCATGGCAGTGATTGTTTAAAGCCACATCTCTCTATCGCATTGTCTTCCACATGTGGCCTGATGCCATGAAAAGGATTCTCAGTGTCAGTGCCGACATAGAGACAGTTGGAGAAATTCTGCTGAAAATCATTCCCACTTTAGAGGAGGTGAGTGGACTGTTTGCAGCGTGTGTCGGGTGTATAGCGGAGCAGAGAATGCAGCACTGGTGACTTGTCTCCTGAATGTCTGCCAGTATCAGCACTACAATGGAATTGACTTTGACTGCGAGCTAAGGCTGCTCATTCACCAGAGTCTGGCAGGAGGAATTATTGGGGTCAAAGGTGCCAAGATCAAGGAGCTCCGAGAGGTAACTTTGGCCACAAGCATAGCCGAGCATAAATGGGGTGTTTCCACGCTCTCATTTGTTCTTGGTCTTCCTACCCCATTCAGAACACGCAGACGACCATCAAGCTGTTTCAGGAGTGCTGCCCTCACTCCACAGACCGCGTGGTGTTGGTTGGTGGTAAACCTGACCGTGTTGTGGAGTGCATCAAGGTGATTCTGGAGCTCATATCAGAGGTGAGACCTTAAGTGTCCATCATGCCTGTGCTGCCAGACCTCTCTTTCCTGCCTTTATCCAAATGTACCCTAACCTCTTATCACCCGCTTGTGCTCTAAGCCTAACCTCTTATCACCCGCTTGTGCTCTAAGCCTAACCTC